TAATCCGATACATAAGAATTTACTAGTTGTCGCACTTGTAAATATTTTGGAACTACCGAAGGTTTTATTGAAACAATATAAGATAAGTTGGAGCAAGTGCACCCGAAAAAATTCTTAGTTCGCAAATAAAATGTTGTCAAACTTAAAATTCGTGAAATATAATACTGTCATTATTTTTATTTGATTCTTCTGAACCTTATGTTAAAGTATATGTAACCATTTTTTTATATAGTTAATATCTGAAATTATCAACTTTTTATTAGACGTCTGAGTACGCACTTGCCCCATACACCTGGGGTAAGCGTACTTCAGAGGTGTTTAAAACGCTACTGGCAATAGTTGTAAATAATATTGGGCAACTGCGTTTCACCCATCTATTTTCGTTATTGAAACGCTTTTTCCGAATTAATTTATCTTCATTCACTTAAAAGTTACCAACTTAAACGTAATTGAAAGAAAGACTTTTCTTCTTTGAATGTCTTCGTTGACATGAAAATATATTTAACTGAAAGATATACTTTATGGTTAGTCACTTAAAAAGATTTGACTGTTACAAAGGTAAAAAAACTCAATTTTTACAGTTTTACACACTGATGTCCAGAATTACCACCATAAAACCACTTTATTATTTGAACTTTTTTCTACAGGTGTATAAACAGACATGTTGTTTACAAAAATAAATTAAAGATACGCTGTTAACGCCTTAAACAACCACTTATAATTGCACATTACTGTATTCTATATTGTACTAGCGGACCCGACAGACTTCGTTCTGTCAAATAGATTTGGAATATAGCAGTTTATTTCTTTAATTCTCCTGAACAGAACCGTCACCATGATGATAGGGCGGTGTGTGAGGGTCAGCTCGGGTGACCTAAGTATCTTCGCTTCCACGAACTTTGGCCACCCTTTTGGACCCACTAAAACCCCGACTAGGATGTCTGCCAGAGGGCTTCAAACTTAGAGGGGAACTTAAGGTTCAAACCTGATTAAAAAATAATCTAAAGGGATAGTGGGAACCTAAAGGTGACAAATATTTATAAAGTGGGTGCTTCAATGACAAAACATAGAGATAATTAATTATTTATTATTATTAACATAATGTTTAATGGTATACTGATATCTGATTTAATAAAGAAAAATGAAATATAACGTATACCTACGTATAAGTATTTTCAGTAATCGCTTTATTGTAAATCAAGTGACTCATAATTATTAACAAAAATCTGTTTTATTTTTATTGTAGTGCTTTATGATATACAATGTTTTTTTATTACCTGGTGAATATACAAACAAATCTGATGGTTTTCAACACGGAAACAGGCAACATACAATTGACCATGTGAGAAACATGGGTTTTCTAGATTAATACCACAAATACCTAATGATTGCCCCTGGGACTTATTTATGGTCATAGTAAAAGCAAGCCGCACTGGAAACTGTAGTCGTTTAATTTCAAATGGTACATCAGTCGGAATCATTGGGATGCGTGGTATCAAAACGTCTTCTCCTTTATACTTTCCTTTCAGTATAGTTGCTTCTATCACGTTGTTAAATAATTTCTTATCGCTAACCGTGTGCCGTTGCAAAGACGCGGTTGGTTGATATTTCTCAACATTATAACTACCGATCCAACCTTTAATTGAAGATTGTGAGGTGGCAATCCTCATTCAGGCAAAAATTCAGGGAGATAGTTGACGATATTATCTTGGTTAGTAGCTGAATCTACTGATTTATATATCCTTAATACGACTGTAATTTGTTCTTGAATTTTGAAATTTAATTCACTTACATCTATGTTTTTGCAGCCAATATAGCCCGTTCGCTCAACCAATTATGGTTTCTGTAACTTTGAGCAACATCTGGAAACATCTTTTAAATAAGTTCATCTTTTGATCGAGTTAACTGACAAACACTATGAGGAAAGTTAATGCAACCAGTCAAGGTGTCTACAGAAAATTTACCATTACCAATGTCAATGAGTTGTTTAGAGAATATGTCTTCAGATTGGTCATTTTGCAACTCGACACGCATATTCTTGCTTAAGTGTAATACCTTGAGATGTTTCCACAAATTGGAGGACTTTAAACATGCATTTAGTTCATCAGCTGGCGTTGATCGTGGAATCACTGGCAATGTTTGACGAAAATCTCCTGCTAATAAAATCATTGCACCACCAAATAGGTTATGATTGCTCCGTAGTTCATATCTAAAGCCTCCAAAGATTTTTTATCTAATCAATTCACATTGCTGCAAAACCTTTGCATTGCAGAGTTCCTCGAAATGTTGCAGGTTGGAGTTTCGATGCTTTACATGTTTACTGCTGAATAGGCTGTTCGGCTGTTCGTTTTTATCGGTACAACTCTTGGTTAAAAGAATCATGCATTGGGCGATTGAGCGCGGCCAGGCCTAATTGAACTAATAGTTTGTTTGACATTGCAAGCTCATGTCCTCAATGGAAATCAATGCTTCATTGTAAATTTCTTCACTTATTTGTATATTTGGATTTGCCCTTCTAATCCGTATTTAATACAAAATATCATCACACATATTGTCTTTGTACTTGATCCACAAATCATTTGGGTCTAATGGGAAGAATGTAGATATGATTATAGAAAACAATGTTTGTATTTGATGAGCTTGTGATTATATTACAGCATCATTGAGAGTTTGATCCCAATGAGCGTCATTTTCTAGCAAGCAAACGTTGGCAGGCTTCTCTGTATGATCGACGCCAATTACCATCAACATCTCGTAAATGTTGGAATGATGTTGGGCCACGTACATTAACTAAAATCAGCCGTAAATCAAAACGTTCATCATTGCTTTTATGTACTGAATAAATTCGACCGATCGCATCGGTAGAATATACATTTGGGTATCATGGAATAATATTTTGGCATTTCAGAATATAACAATGTTTCAGCAAAATAACAATGTTTGAGTAAAAGCATTGTTTTGGCGTATCTCAAAAAAACTGGTTAATGTAGTAGATGGTGGCTGAGCAGCTCTTTGTACTGCTTTTTGTGCTGTAAAATATACTCTTTGTCCATTTTCTAAATGCATAGATAAATGAATAACAGTAGGGTGTCTCTCGTGAATAGGAAAAGAAAATATTCGCCAAACTGCTTCATTACTACTAACATAGCGACCTATTTGGTATTGGGTAACTTCAGCGTTGGAATTCTTTGCATTAATACCAATCACAGCCATATCAATCCCTTTGGTTACATATTTGCAAATGTATTTAATAGATTTCACTGAATGGCAAGATTCAACGTTGATGTGTGCTTTGAAGGTCTTTGGTAAAATGGGTGAATATGGAACAATCCAACGATTATCTATTTCAATATATAGTGTTGATTTAATTTGACAATTGTTGATCTTCCATTGTCTGCTGTCGATCGGCGACGATGCAGTGGATAACTATCATTACCAGTGATTGTTTCAGATATTAATGTCCGAGGATATGACTTTGAACATTTACCATCCACCATACACGGTGAATTTTGATTAAGAATTCCACAGGGACCATGTATCATGGTTTTGATAACTACTTCATGCAATCCAGGATCTACTTCAACATTAGGGATTTCAGCTGATATTACTGCATCGTTTGGCTTTATATTTTCAACTAACCAAATCAAAATTTGTGCATGTGACAATCCCCGTTTCTGCCACTCCACAGAATACATCCAGCAGCGTGTCTCTCCTAACACATAATATTTCACAATGAAACCTACATTGTTTAGACAACAGTGAGTGCTTGTTATTTAATATAAATTTTATGGAATAGCAATAAAGTTCAAATTGACTCTCTACATTGAAAATATTTGTATGGGAAAAAGATTTAAGGAAAAATTTTATTTTTATTTATTTATTTATAAAAGATTTATTTATGGAAAAAATATCATTTCAGATCTATAACCGCTAATCACTTCAAAATGGTTTCTATGAATCGACGAAAAGATTATTTTTGCCTAATATTCCTTTACAAAATTGCTAATAATTTGATAAATTGCCCTGAACTTTTAAATCGATTAGGTCTTAACACTCTTCATGGAACTAGGCATACTTCGTTCTTTCATCTACCATTTCATCAATTTAATTATGAATACTTCAAGCCTCTTACTCATATGGTGGGACTATATAATAGGTACCAAAGTGATCTGGACTTATTTTTCCAGTCCTTAGAACAATTTAAAAATGTGATAAAGAGACTGCTATTTGTGTGATATTAGGTTGTATTCAAGTTAATTGTTAGTTTTTGTTAAACTTTACTAATAATTATTTTCCAGTGTTCTGCTTACTTTGTAAAATTTTATATATTATATTTTGTTCCAATGTAAATGGTATATCCGTTAATAAATAAATACAGTAATAACGGTATTAATGTTTTCTGGGAACTGTCAATGTTTTACCCATATACGTAATGTAAAAATAAAGTTGTTTTTCGTCTTATTTTGCAACCCCCTGTGGAATTTATTAAAAGGAACACACCTACATTGTTTAGACGATAGTTAGTGCTTGTAATTTAATACAGACTTTATTGAATAGCAATAAAGTTCAAATTGACTCTACATTTAGTTGGAAAATATTTGTATGAGAAAAGGAAAAGGGCTTTTTTAGGGTTTTCCCGTAAATTATTCGAATTTTTTTCGTCGTAAAAACTATCCTTAGACTTTAAGGAACATTAAAAAAAAGAATTGTTAAGATTGATCCATGCGTTGTTGAGATATGCGCTTACCAACACATTTTGAGATTTATTTTTATATTACAGATAATATAATATTTAGCAAGTCGTTTACACTGTGTTACATTTAAATTGGTAGTTTTGATTTTCTTCCACAGAAACATAATATTGAACAAAAAATTTTAGATTCGTTAAAACTACAAAGAGATAACGTTAATAATAAATTATAATAATATGTAAATATTTTATATTTACATATAATTTATATGTAAATATTGTTCATTCTTCATTTATTGTTATTTTTTAGATGACCATCAAGCGTATAAACAAACAAACCAAGCAAAAGAAATCGTTAGCGGAGAAAAAAGTTCTGTTCAATATCTCAACAGCGGCGAAGAGGATCAAATGGTAAGAAATTTGTGTTATTTGTACTATTCCACTTGGATGGTATTAGCAGTATTTTAGCGCTCTTGTCATTAATTTTCCTTGTCCTTGTCATAAACTTATTCTTGTTCAGCACAAACAACTTATTAAAGTGCCAAGAAAATATATATTTCTGACATATTTCTTCAAATATAACATTATAATGTCACCAAAAATAAAGGAAAACTAGCCGTAGCAGTTGACAAAAATAGGCCAAAGAAAGCAAAAGATATATATTTTATGTAGTTTTCCGGGTTTGACTTCGCGTTGAATAATTTTGGTTTTGTTAAAAACCATTATTTTGACGACGTTTCTGCAAGGTCGCACTTGTCATTGTCAAGACAGATAGCGCATCTTGCTGATATTTGAGTTAACTTCAAACTAAGATAATACAAAGAAAATTGTATCGGCGTGCAGAATTAGGTGTCGTAAAACATGTTTTGAAAAGTTGAGCAAGAACAATATCAATATGATTTTTAATAATTTTTGGCAAATCGGCAACTACCATAATCAAAACCAATATCTTTCAAAAGTGCTGAGTTGAAATGATTGTAAAAAGTCTTCAATTACTGACAAAGCTAGTAGAAAACTTCGGGCCATAGAATATGGTGTTTTATTTTCAGGCTTTTACTAGCATCCATGGCATAAGCGAAAAAGTTAGCGTTGTTTTAGACAAGCAGACCACTACAGGAACTATGCTGGGTAATAACAGAGGGAAGCTAAGTCAGGAAATAAAATGGTTGAAAAATAAAAATATATGCCAACGGATTTATCAATTACTTGGCATATGAAACTTACATGGAATGACTATGAAATACATATCCCAAAGAACAGCCTATGATAGAGTCCTACTGTCGAAATATCTTTGTCAACGAATTCCATATAGGTATTCAGCCTAAAATAAAACAAGTACAAAATATGGACTTATATAAACACCAACAAAACCAAGCTAATGATCATCAGCAAGAAAAACATAACTGAAGCAAATCTATATATGAACCAAATGAGAATTGAACGTATCTCACAATACAACTACTTGGGAACTATAATCAATGAGTTGTTAAAGAATACCCAAGAGATTAAATGTCACATCGGAAAGGCAAAAAGTGTATTCTTGACTATGAGCTCTGTGTTTAAGAGCCATGACCTCACCCTAGAAACAAAAATAAGGCTCCTTTAATGTTATGTGTACTCAGTGCTTCTATACGAAGTAAAAACGTGGATATTGAAGGCGGAAATTCTATCAAAACTTAAGGCTTTTGAGGGGTGGCTATACAGAAGGATCCTGAAGATACCATGGACAGACACCAACGAAGAAGTACTGCGGAGGATGAACACAACTGCGGATTTGGTCTACATCGTGAAGGGTCGTAAGCTGCAGTACTTGGGACATATAATAAGAAATAAAGGCAGATTCGAGCTACTTCAATGCATTTTGCAAGGTAAAATTGAAGAAAAAGGGCCCCAGGACAAAGAATAATATCCTGGCTTGCTAACCTGAGAGCATGGTATAGAAAGACACAGCTGTTTCGCATAACAACCAACAAAGTCATCATAGCCAAAATGATCGCAAACGTTCGGAACGGACAGGCACCCTAAGAAGAACCAAAAATCTCCCAGAATAACTTAATTGGTACGGAACTGAAGGTCGATTTAGCAAAGCAGAAATTTGCTCAAGATATGATGAAAAGCTACGAAAGCAGCTAGAATGAAAATATTGAGGTTGTATGCATTGCTTTACAACAAGCATTACCGGCGCCTAAACTTACCTGCAAAGTACAAAATACAAAAGAAAAATAAGCACTTACAACTTAAAAATTAACAACGTTAAAACAGGAACAGCCAATATGTATGTATGGGATGAAATCATCGCTAAACGCGAAACGTGCATCTAGCTAGTTTTCTCAGTCACTACTTTTGGAGTTCATGGCGACTAACACAAACACAAGAGCTGGAAATGTTGACGCAAATTTAATCATCAATGACCAAAACTTCGAAGCAGTCAAAGAGTTCATATATCTAGGGACATCGGTTAACCCCAATAATAACACATCTGAGAAAGTAAAAAGGCCAATAATAATTGCAAACAGGTGTTATCATTAATTACTATTTAACTGTGAATAAGCGACAATTAAAGGTAAAAATATGTTTATTGACGTTTCAATTTCGACTTCGGAAATCGTTCTCAAAATACGGATATTCTCAAGTTAAAGTCGATTTCATGTAATCGAATAAACTATCTTATAAGTAAAGTCGTCCCAGGAGCGCAACTCAACAATATTGGCAATATCATTTTAAAGTCGTCTACTTTAAAATGCATAATGTATGTCTGAATTGTCAATATAAATGAGTCAGATAAAATTAAATTATTAGAAGAATTTTTCACTAAGTAACAAAAAACAAAATTTATTTAATTTACTGTTTGTATTTTGAGAACGATTTCCGAAGTGGAAATTGAAACGTCAATAAACGTATTTTTACCTTTAATTGGGGCTTATTCCCAGTTAAATAGTAGTTAATTTAAAATGCCACAAGAAAATAGCTTCAGAACAATATTAAGGTGTTATCATGGTCTATTAAAGTACTTAGCTAATAAACGTCTGTCTCAAAAATCTCGTATAAGGCTGTATAGAACACTGATACTCCCCGTTCTCACAAATGGATCAGAGGCATGGACGCTAACTCAAACAGATGAATCCGGTCTATTGATTTTTGAAAGAAAGGTGCTACGCAAGATATTCGGAGCGGTCTGTGAGAAGGGAATATGGAGGCGTAGATATAACTTTGAACTGCAGAATATCTACAAGCATACGTTTGCTGGTAAATATATTACCACTATAATTAAGCGAAACCACCTGCAGTGGGTAGGACATGGAGCCCGAGCCCATGAATCGAACATGATAAAAAAGATTCTAACAGTGCAACCCGTGGGAATGAGAAGACGGGGTAGACCAAAACTGAGGTGGATGGATGGGGTAACACAAGATGTGAAGAAGATGGAGTTCTCAACTGGAAAATGGAAACAAGCGACAGAAAAAAAATGGCGTAGAAAGCTTGAGAAGCTCGAGGCCCTCTAAGGGCTGTAGCACCAATATCAATGAATGAATGAACTTTGTTAACAAGCACGTAAGAAAAGTTATAATTTTTAGTGATATCTCTGCCAGTTAAAATAAAACCATACATTTTGTTTTGTCTCACCTCTGCCACACGGATGCAAACCGCTTTGATCTTTTCAAGAACGTTTTTTTTAATGCCAGGGCATTCGATGATGGATTGTGATCGAGATTTCAGTTCAATTATATTAAAGAGCATGGGCTGTGAGGTATTTTTTAAACAACACTGTATCCATTTCATGCACACACGAAAAAAAAAGAACAATTTCCAAGTTGTTTATGTCACGAAGGAACTGGTTAAGGATTTCAGGATTTTTCTTCCAAAAGCAGCTAAATCTCAAATATTGGGAGCTAACTTCAAGTATGGCAGAATTTATTTTATGGCACTTTATTTTTGTATGAATTTTCAATGGTAGTAAACTTTCCGCATACAAAAATTAAATGACCTCATGCTGAATATATTTGCACGGCTCTTAACAAAAAACTCCATTTTTGGTTCACAATACTTAAAATCGCAGTCACATATAAATAATAAGAACTCATCAGGTTAACATTTACAAACATACCTACTATTTCAGAACGTCTGTTGAGTGATTACAATTGTTTCCAAAGCTAAACTGGCCAAAGATAGGTTTCAATTGAACAATTAACATTGAACTTCTTTATTTGACAGATTTTTATATTTTAGGAAATTCAAGGATTCATCTACAGTAACCTGAAATCCAAATTATGTATGATTTTTTATATACTGACGTTAGGTACTTTGAGACTGTTTTTTCACTGGTATCCACACTTACATATAAAATCAACACACACCAGAAGTGACCTTAAAACTGCAGATAAAGTTTTAGTTACGGTAATTTTTTAATTCTTATAATTACTTTTTAATGCATGATTTTTATTTAGTTTCATATTTCATATATTATTACTTACTAAATTAACTGAGTATTTCATTTTTAATATTTATAGATAGATTTGTATTTAAATAGGATTCCTAATACACATACAATATTGATAAAAGTACACTATAAATGTTTGATACGTTGCTTGAGCCGCGCTTTAAAATTATTGAGAGCGGTAGGGTAGACCGACGGAATCCCGATACCTAAAACAATTTGAATTTTCAGATTTATTCTATATTAGTTAGGTTTTGATGGAAATACATATACTATAATTGAAATTTTCCGCATCCTTTGGGTATGTAATATTGGTAAAACAATGTCATTTACGTGTGTAAAAACAATATTTCCCTAACTTTAGCAGAGTGTCGGTATTTCCCAGATCACCGGGGTAATTCCGACAGACGTTTGGGGTAATGCCGACAGTAGTAATGAAGAAAATAATGAGACAACTGATGGTATCACTATGCCATGAAGAGGTGATACTGATTCCAAAATATCTTTGAAATGAGACAGGTTGTCACAGAATTTTGGACAAGAATTTGGTACAACATTCGTTTTCGAACTACCAGGTAATGGATTTTCATAAATCCCGCTTAAATCTAAGCTGGTTGTTGTCTTGGTTCCAAATTTCTGTACCTTATCTTTGGATTATGTTTTAAAATCTGACAAGTTATGGCACGTCTCGTTATCGCGTGCAAGCTCCCCAGTGACATTATGATTGTGTTCGTGAAGAGTTGCACCAAGTACTGGTTCATAAACATTTTCAGAGTCAACGATGACTGGAGTTTAAGTATCTTGTTTAGTGACAAAGTCTATATCAGTAAATTTTTCAGGGCTGTACGGTAAGATCCCTGAAGCACTAAATCCTGAAACTTCTTTATCCACCATTGCGACTTTTAAGTAAACTTCATTAAATATAGATGCTATGTCATACTTAGAAATCTTCTGAAATTGGTTTTTCTGCAATATGGAATAATTGTCCTGCAATTGGTATCTGAGTCCATTCACGAATGTTTTTTAACCAAGAAACTTTCTTTCTACACCTCTACGGCCCTCTATTTTGGCTTTAAGGATCAGTTGTAAAATTTTATATCGACTTCCTCTTACTATGTGTTTCAGAAAGACATTTTTCGATGTTTAACAGTCTTTAGCAGTTCTCTGTCTTTGTTGACGCTCCTTAGTACTTCTTCTTTAGTTTTTCTTGCTGTCCAAGGTATCTTCAGCATTCGTCTATGAACCCACATTTCCAATGCTTCAGCGGGCCATAAAACGACAAATCCAAAAGCTGTAGTTTATGTGATGTGTGAGGTGGTATTGAGACAACATGTATATTATTAGATCTACAATACTTATTACTATCAAGAGAGATGTGACTCCCGTGATCGTCCATGATCAATAAGACGGGATCTTCCTTTGTTGGTTTTACGTTGTCTTTGAAATGTGTGAGCCACTCCATGAAGAGGTCTTCACTTGACCAGCCATTATTAGAGCATTTGTAAATAGCTCCAGCTGGTCCACCTTTCTCTTACTGAGGTGAAATTCTCTGCTAAGATATATAAACATGGGCGGTATACACCTGAAGCACTCAAAGTGAAGACAATCGTATAGTATGAAAGGGAGAAAGTAATACAGAAGAGGTATAACCTAATCAGCTTAAAACAAGAAAGCGTGAGAGATTTATACAGAAATAGATTAAATTAAAAGTTGGAAAATAAACAATTCAATAAAAATGAAGAACATTATACTCGCATAAAAAGGTGTCTCAGAAGGCAGCAACACAAGCCATTGGATACCAAATCTAGAAGCAAAGAAAACTTACATATTGGTTTGACAAAGAAATAGAACAAGAAATAGAGAAGAAAAGAGACCAATATCAAAAATTCTTAAATACAAAGAATATAACGGATAAAATATTCTACAAGGAGTCTCAAACTAAAGTACGAAAAATGATATGTCGGAAGAAAAATGAAGCATGGCAACAAAAGTGTAGCATGATAAATTCACATCGAGGAGGACGAAAAAGCACAGAAAGTTGGAGAGTCTTAAAATCTTTATGACAAGATGAGAAGAGAGACATAGTGTCAACAATAACAATGGAGGACGGACCAATATTTTGAGAAACTTTTTAGGTTTCCACAAGAAGATAGACCACAATTTAAAGACAGCGAAGAAACACAAAACATAAATATTTTAACTTCGCACATACGAATACCAACAAAAGAAGTGGAAGATGTATGTAGATCTCTAAAAAATAACAAAGCACCGGGTCCAAGTAATATCCCTGCAGAGTTAATTAAATATGGTACAACCAAACTATATACAAGTTTAGCCAAACTTTATCAAAACTGCATTAATGGAATGACAACCCCAGAGGAGTGGAAGACATCATTTATATCCACTATACACAAAAAAGACAGAAGGGATGAATCTGACAATTACATAGGCATTGGCGTGACAAACTCGGTCAGTAGAATATACGAAAAAGTAATTAAAAACAGAATAGAAAGCGAATATAAAGACTAAGAGGCTGAGGAACAGGCAGGATTTAGGGCAGGTAGATCTACCATTGACCATTTGTTTTGCTTGACACAGATTATTGAAAAGAAAATAGCCGTAAATTAAGAAGTACATTTATTGTATGTAGACATACGAAAGGCTTATGATAGCATACCACATTATAAATTATGGGAAGCGTTAGAGAAAACAAACATAAGCATGAATTTTATAAATGCGACGAAGGAACTGTACGCTAATGCTAACTCAAAGGTAAAGGTTGGAAATAATCTATCAAGTGGATTTCAAATAAATAAAGACTTTAAGCAGGTCTGCTGTCTCTCCCCGACATTATTTATAATTTATCTAGAACTGGCACTAAAATATATTAAGGAATTGACGCCCAAACTTATCAATTTATGTAAAAATGAAAATATAAAAATAGCTCAGAGTAACGTAGTAACAATTGGTCAAATGCATAGTAAGATAAAACACCATTACCAAAATTGGAAAAATCCAATCTAATCGATTCTATACCTTGTGGTGAATGTAGTAATGTATATGTTGGACAAACTTCGGGAAATTTAAAAGGGAGCATAATCTCTCATAAAAGTGATTGCAGGTTGCATAAAATTCTTGTGCCTTAGCTGAACATTAGGAATGTGTCTACTGAACATATTATCAATTTTAATGAGGTGAAAATATTAGACGGAAAAAGGAACTACCATAAAAGGGTTTTCTTGGAAATGTTACATATTAATAATACCAAAACAGCAATGAATAAAAAAGTGACATCAATGACTTGAGTAACGTATACACCGACATGTTAAAAATATCCAACTAAATATCCAATAGTTAAAACATCTTGATATATACTTTTTTATAATATTCCCGGAATGTATTCCAACAAAATCAAAATCGGAAAATTTGTATTCAACAAATACTAGTTTTACGGACGTCATTTAATAATGCCTTATTTAATATCGTATTATCCAATGTCAGCTAAACCTCTGGTATTATAAAAATTAATATTTTTGTTCAAAGAAATGAATTCTTGAAATTATTCAGGTGATAAGCCATTTACTGTTTTGAATATTATCAAGCTGGAATCCCACATATTTAACTGTTGTAACTACTTAATTTTTTTTACTATTAATATTTAAATGTATGCCGTCAGTATAAAGCAAGCTATATTTAAATCAGTTGTTGTTTATGAAACATATTTAGTCACCTATTTCCAGAAATTGATATTTTGTCTGAAAACCAATGTTAACACATAGGTGCATCATTTGCAGATGAAACATATTAACTACTATTACAGGTCCCTTACTAACAGACCGTATTTCATTAAGTGTATTTATGAAAGATATTAAGTCGCCGACTTAATATGTTTAACAAATGAACGTTCATCTATCAATTTGACAGAATACATACAACCTCTAACCTAACTTTTATTTGTTTGCCTCATCAAGAACTCGGTGGTTTGTCTTCTGTCGTTGCTAAAGCATTATTGTTTATATTCGTATTTAAGTAACAAAAATGAGTGCTTGACGGACAGAGAAGTAATGAATTATGAAATATGTAATATGTAGTGTATTATGTAATAATACAAAATTTGGCCAATGCGCAACCAGCCACATCTCGCTTGTCATACTGTAGGTTCATATTGTAATAATCATCAGTATTTTGATTCATATAAAATCTTTAAATTGGCTGCTGATTTAATGATTTTGTGAAAGCATTTACAAAGTTTTATTTTGATTTTGTTTTAGGATATTTATAGAAAATACAAATCATATTTTGTTAAGGAAATTAAAACGATCCAAGCCAGTTCTCTAAGGTAAGAGGACATATATATTGAAAACCATATAATTCTAATATTTTAATTTCAGGAGTGTTGCTAATCAAAATGAAGATAACATCTTGGAATGCAATATATGCGACGGCAGACAAAAAAGTAGGTATAAACCATTTTAAACCGACTAAAAAACATAGTTCTTAAAATTAACTGACTAAGACATGGAATCGGATTGCTGAAGAGCGGCCATGCATTGGTCTACACCGATATTAGATATATTCTTTATGATTAAAATTTAGAAATTTAATATAATTTTGAAATATTTTTAAATTTTGCATTATTATATGGTAAATACGTCCCTAATTTACGTAGAGCTAGATAGTTATATATCATAGTATTACATTCTAGTCACATATGTGAGGAGATAACATGCAAACAGCCTTAAGTTATACAAAATCAGTTGAGTTAGATGTGCCAATGCATTGTTCTGTTGTAGCCAAAGTAGTTTATTTCAGCAGCTTATTTCCAACCAACCAATAGGAACTCTGCACTTCTACTCAGCTGATTTGCTGAGTCTTATAAATTTGAGGTTATGTAAGGGTTTATTGTAAAAGTATTTAAAAACAATTAGTAATTACTTTATTATTTAAAGGTTTATGGATAATAAAAAAGAAAAGTGAACAAATTACCGGGTATGTAGCTCCTAAAAGAGCTCTAGTTTTTGTACTGTTTAAGCACAAATAAACGTTTCGCGTTCATAAAAATAAGGCCTAATTACATCAACACTTTCAAAGAAGAGTTTACTCAATAAGAAAGTACTCAATAAAACACTTTTTCCAACTATCTGGTGCTAAAACCTCTTTATATTTAAAGCTTTTTCGCACTGTTATTGTGCAAAAAAGTGCATTTTAGGTTTACTGTTGAAGGAAAAGGTAGAGGTTAGGAATTAAAAATAAGAATTATCTGCAGAAGGAAAGTGTTGAGAGTACATAAAAAGCTCAGAGGAACTGAATCACGTTACAGAAGATAGAAAGAAAGAAAAATAGAAGTGAGACTGAAAGAACTCCCACTTCTTCAAGTGTTAACTAAAGAAAAGACAAAGATGTTCACAAACTTTTGAAATAAATATTTTTCTGACCCACGCCTTGGTTGGTACAAGAGTTTAATTTTTGATGAACCCACTACAGCAACTGCTGGTGAGGAGCAGGAAGCAATGAGTGACTGTCTCCACAATGAGCGTTGTGACTTCTATATTTAAAAGAACTGTTTATTTGTTGCATTAATTACCTGTTATGACAATGTTTGTCACTTATGGGTAAGGCTCATATTGTTTTACAAAAATATAAGTTTATTCAGAAAACCATTGTTTCTTTACTTTATTGCTTTTTTACTTTATTTACATGCAAATCATCTTATGTCCACAACATTTTACATGCAAAACGACTTATTTCCACTTAATTTATGCAAAAGATCTTACTACCACAATAAAATCAATTTTTTAAACTATTTTTAGCCACTCTAACTGAAATAAGTGTTTTAATCTAATGTTTGGAACCAATTATATTGCATAACATTGATTGTAACTCATTATCCTATTTCAGAGTAAAGCTACAAGTTTTTTGCCCTCCCTGAAAAATTAGTTATATGTGACTTAAGCTTGTTTGCATTTTACCTCCTCATATATCTCATTAAATCATCATTTGGCCTTTTAACTACTTCTAGTCTAGGTCTAGTAAAATTATCTTCACAACAAATCACCATCAAAAAATGTGTCAATATATTTCATTTCCGGAAGTGGCATTTCCTTTAATCTCCATAAACCAATTTTCATAAAAATCGTTCAAGTACTTTTCGATATATAGAGTGTAAGCTCGTCATTAATAAACTAACAACTTTATCAGATGAACAACAGATCCGGAAGATCCTGCGTAGACGCCGTATTTGTACTAAGACAAATCACAGAAAAGGCCATCGAGTACAATAAATCAGCATCTCTATGTTTTATAGACCTGACAAAGGCTTTCGATCGCATCCAAGAAGTCTAGTAAGAAAACATCTACCTCCAAAATCGAATACAGGCAAAGATAAATGGAAAGCTAACACAGTGTATACTAGTACAAAGCGGAGTCAGACAGGGTGACTCGTTGAGCCCACTTCTCTTTAATATAATAATGGACGAAATAATACAAGCAGTACGTAAAGGTCATGGCTACAAAATAAGGAACAAAGAAATCCAAATATTATGTTATGCAGATGACGCCGCATTAATCGCCGAGGCAGAACACGAGCTCCAAAGATTAATACATATCTTCAATACAACAGCTAAGAAATACAATATGATAATATTAGCAGACAAAACCAAATGTATGACAACATTTAAATACCCACTACAGTGTAAAATCGAAATTGATGGGAAAATAATAAAGCAGGAAGCAAGGTTTAGATATTTGGGAATAGATATAACTAGTTACGGAGATGTTGAAGAAGAAGTACGACAACAAAGCTTAAAAGCAAGTAAAGCGGCGGGTTCTCTTAATGACACAATCTGGAAGAACAAACACCTAAGACAAGAAACAAAAACAAGAATCTATAAAGCAGCAATTAGACCTATATTAACATACACGGCGGTGACAAGACCTGACACATCAAAAACGAGACGACTGCTAGAAACAACAGAGATGAAAATACTCCGACGAATATCAGGGAAAAGTCTATTGGATAGGGAGAGAAGTGAAAACATAAGAAGAGCATGCAATATATATGACATAAATGGATGGGTGACAAAAACGAAAACAGGAGAGTAACGAACATATCAGTAGAATGGCAGAGGATAGAATAGTACGAATATCACGAGATAAGTCACCAAATGGACGAAGAAGTGTTGGCAGACCAAGAAAAAGATGGTGCGATAATTTATGAGGCTAATATCGAAGAAGAAACAGGCTTTAAAGCCTATATACTAGAAGGAAGAAGAAGTTCATCATTAAACACCCTGTATATCCGCCAAACTCATTTATTATTTATCCCCACACACCCAAATGTGGTATTTTTATTCTCAGTGTTTTTATTTTAACATATTATTTATCTATGGTCTTTTTTCCGTTTGATCTTTAGTAATATTTTTCATAAATTCTTTCACGTTCCCTTTTTTATTATTTAATTTAATTGTATTTATTATTATTATAATTTTATAAAATAACTTTGTGTATAATTAGTTACATGTACGAAATATGCATGTTTTAGGACTATATCAAGCCCGAATTATCAAATGTAAAAAATTATTGTATGTATGGGACGATGACACCAACAGTTTTGTTAAGTTAGCAGGGTTTGACAAAGGTATTACAAGATCCAAATTACATTCTTTTAGCGGTCAAACAGAAGACAAGCAAGTTACCAAGTAAGTGCCCATATTTTAAAAACTGCGGAAAAGTATTTTACATTTAAGAAAATAGCATTCTTTTAAACAAAAGATAACAATTTATAACGAATACTTAACTGAATGGTTTTAACTGAAATCGTCACCATATTAACGTACCTTGTCTAAAATATTTCTCTGCAGACGAGCTGTTATCATTGTCACTATCCAACAGATCAATAATAAATTGTCCACTGTTTGAAGGTAATTGTCCTAGCCTTCTGTATTAATTTTTTACATTAACTACATGGTTTACTCATTTTTTTGAAGTCGAGACTTGCAATATATAATAGTTCATACCTATCGACTTAAATCAATTACTTTCGCGTCAAATTTTGAAAAAATATTTTTCTTCCTAATTCGTTTTTTATTTGTCCCTAATAAATTCTATGGATTAAATATGCAAAAATACGGTGGTTACCTCAAAACAGTATGGCCCATGTTCTGTTGTCAATCTTCACCAATATATTATTTGTCATAAGTTTTAGTACGAAGTGTGCGTAGCACTTCAAATAATTGTTTCTTATTATAGTTCCCTTCAAAATACAACTCTTTATCTGAGGAAATCTTGTAGTTCCTGTTTTAAACTGACGAACTGTTTGAAATTGTTTAGAAGTCTTGAGTGATAGCTGGCATTGTCCATAATTATCACACTGCTGTGAGTTATATTAGGAAGTAACTTATTTTTAAACCACTCTTTGAATATATTAGAATTCATATTCTGATGATAACCTACACTACATTTTTCAATTTTTTTTTCACAAAGCTTTAGCCCATTGGGCACCTAACTATTTGAAGATCCACTTTGCACAATAATACTTCGAGGATCTTTATTTAGGTACACCTTTCAGTTGGCACCTATCTAAGTCCAACCCTTAATAGCAGTATCATGCGTGTCATACCATGTCTCGTCCAAATAACCAATTGTTTACTTTTGGTCTCGATATTGTTGAGTTTTTTCTAATATAAATTTCAATGTACTATCCTCTTACTTTACATAATAGCTACTCGTTTATCAATAATTTTGTATTTGAATCCAAGTTTTTCAGCCGTCTGCGTAAAGCGGTTTTATGATCGCAACAAACTTGGTTTTTCCAGTTTTTCCATCGCAACAAACTTGGTATATATAAAATCAATTGTTGGTATTACATTTTTTCGTATGTCTCGTAAACCAAATTCATTAAACATTTAGCAGTCATGATATTAAGATGTTTAAATTTTCTAGCATCCGATCTTATTTTTCCCTGATTAACACCACTCTTCACAATGTCGCATGGTAGACTGGTAGAATACAGAATTCCTGTTAAAAAGTCCGCTTTTCTTGTAATACTGTCTTTAGAACTAATTTCAGGATCAATTTGCAGATTGTTGTAAACTTTTATACAATTTTTTTAATTGTTTATTCAAAACACTCCTTTGGTTTGGAAGTCGTAAACTCTTTTCTGCTGTTCCATCTGAGTCTTGATGTTTTTTTTATATCACTTAAATAATTGTCGACTAATACACTTTCTCTAATACTAGTTTGGTTCTCTTGCTCCTATGAACGAAAAACTATAGGTGATATTCTTTAAGATCTAAATTTTCTTTAATATAGCATCAAACCGTACATCTGAAAATATGTTATTGCTAAACGTAATTCTTCCTGAGCAAATCTGTATTATTTTCCATCTAAAATCTATATTTGATGTATTATGATTTTTTCTTTATAAATACCATTCGTTTTGTATAGCTATGTCAGGTAAAAATCAGTCAATACCATTTTTTCCTGGAATCCCAATTCGGTAAGCAGCTAGTCCTTGGTTCATAAGATCAGTTCTCCCATATTATTATTATAGGCTTCCATTCAATGAGGTCGAAGCAGCAATATGTTTCTTTTTTCTTTCCAAAAATGCCTCTGAACCTGTCGTAATGGTTAAACACCAGGACCTGTAGAACAAATCCTGGTGTCTAAAACTACTGTACATCACCATATTGATTCTTTTTCTGATTCTTCTTCTTCTTCTTCTTCTTTCAGTGCCTATTCGTTCCGAATATTGGCAATCATTCTGGCTATAATTATTTTATTAACTGATGCTTTAAATAGATTCGTTGTTGTTGTGGAGAACCATTTCCTCAGGTTCTTCAACCATGATATTCTCCTTCTCCCAAATCCTCGCTTTCCGAATACTTTACCCTGTAGGATTACCTTTATTAATCTGTATTTAGTGCTGTTTCTCATTATATGTCCGAGATATTCCAACTTTCTCTTTTTAATGGTATACATCACCTCTCTTTCTTTGCCCACTCTTCGTAATACGGTCTCGTTGGTTATCTTGTCTGTCCATGATATCCCTGATGTCTGTCTGATACAAGTCAAAATTAATGAGATAGCCATCGTTTGAATTGAGACACCACATTTTGTAGCAGAATCTTATCGGTTTAACACGAATGTCATCCGTGACGTCATTATTATTTTACCATTGACTTATCATAAGACAAATTTTGTACTGGTTAAAAATGTTGTTAACATATTTCTTTGATTATGTTCATAAGCGGTCATAACTTCCAAGCTTTATGATCTCGACTGTTCTGCAAATTGACGGCAATATAAATATACTTTTGAATGTGAATAAAACGGTTTCTTCACATAGCATCGACCACCAATTACCACCAATTTCTCGTGAACTTCTTCTCAAGTAAAACACAACTCGAATAATTCTCAAGTCTCCAGATTTGTCAAGCTATTGCCGATGTAGAAGGTTCCGCCAGTAGCAGATTGTGAATCATTCAATTTATCCTTATCAACTCTAATTCATACATTATTTGTTAGCTTTATTTTAGCTTATGCTGCCGCCCTACAAATACGTAAGCAAATAAAATAATACAAAATCCGTTATGGCCGATTGCTTCTTACCAGTTAAGTTATACATCATTTCCCCTTCGTCTTCGTTAGCTGAATCTTCGTCTGATTCTGCATATCTAGTGCATATGCTTCGTCTGATTCTGCATATCATATTTAGTGCTTCGGATTGTGAAAAACTTTTACTAACTATTATATAAACATGTCACAATTTTGTCCTATATAAACGCCCACGAATACCAAATTGTATCACGCCAATTTAGGGCTTCATATCAAAAACAAATTAAAACTATTTTAAAATATTTATACTCAAAACAAATCTTTGATCTATTTACATAAGAATTTAGTGCTTGATAGTACTCCTAGATATAGATCATACCGAACAATCATAATAATTGCTACTGTAGGTTCACTCTGTTTACATTTTTTAGGAGAATTTTATATGGAAATAATGAAATATCAGTCCCAGTGCAAACAGTAGTGACTTTGATCCTTTTAGAAGCTCTCACACCGTTTTATATGTTCCAATTGTTCAGCTTGATAGTATGGTTATCTGAAAGCTATTACTACTACACAATTGCCATAATAATAATGTCAGTTGTGGGTATATCGACGTCAGTACTTCAAACAAGAAAGGTACCTACTCTCTTAATACTGTTATACTAACTTACTGTTGTACCGTATAGAAGTAAAATCCTTTACTTCTTAGGGTTTTTTAGTTATTAAGTACATTACATACATAGTTCTCAGTTTTCAATTATTCGAAAGCAAAAATTTTTTTAGTTCTCTAAAACTATAATTAGCCCAGATCTCAGATATTTGATCTCTAAAAACGAAAATAACAAGCTGAATATTGCTGAGAATGTCAATTTTGGGACCCCAAAGAACCCGTACAAGTTTGTCACTCCTTATCCTGGGTTTTCCCTTAAAAACTACCCTGTAGGAGAGAAGAACATCGATTTATCAAAAATACGAAGTACTTGTGCAATCAAACAGATGGAATTTTAAACGTTTTAGATTGTTAGCTATATGAAAGTTCCATTTTTATCGTTTTTAGGCGTATTTAAAATGCCCCATATTTGTTGCCAGAACTCAAAATCGAAATCAAAAATTCAACTAAACGAATTCAAAGGTAAAGTAAAAGAAATTTGCAAACATAATTATTATGTAAGTGAATAAATCAAAAACAATAAATGGATGATAGAAGATATTTTAAAACTAATTAAACAACGCAGAATACCTAAATTAAAAAGTGCGTGAAAATTGAAAATATAATAACTAAACATGGTTTCGTTAACATGCATAAATAACAAAAGAGATGTGGCATATTAAAAAGTGAACGCTACCTGTACAAATTACCGATATCAACAAAATTATTATTGATGAAAAAGATATAAAAAAAGATTGGCAAACATATAAGTATATCAGAGATAATATTAACAATCAAGAAATCATGAAATCAGAGGTAGATTGATTAACTTAGAGCTAGAAAAGCTGTGTACTCAATTGAATCCCTGACTCTACTCCGCTTAAAACTGGTAAATAAAGAATGCAGTATACAACACACGGGTGATTCCCTCAGACTCACTTACATCTAAATTTATCGCAATCCCTAAAAAAAGACAATGCTCAGATTATTAATTAAGTAACCAAATGAGCCCGATTTTGTTACGAATAAGAATCAGAGCAACAGAATCAGAGACAAATGTGAAGACAATGGGTGGAATGCATAAAAAGTAGTAGATGCTATTGCTTCAGCAAATAGTATCTGGTTTGTAGCATTTACTTTTACATAAAAGGAGGTGCTTTGTTGAAAAGACCGTACTACACAACCGAAGTACTTGCTACTGACCTGAAGGTTCTACTACTAAACGTAACGCCAGCCGTAGTGCCCTTGTACGCATCACACCAATCGTATTAGAACTAGTTTTTCATGTGATTTTTCAACTTTTTATAAAGATTTTACATTAATACCTAAATATATATACATATGCAGTAAGCTAAAATAAGTCTTACCCGCCCCCTACTCTCCTACTTTCCCATTTAAAAAATCAAAGTTATGACTGTCACCTGAAGAAAGATTGTTCGAAACATTGGTGCTATAATATACTATGATTATTTTAAAAATCGACCTCTTCGAGTGTTTTGCTTATATACTAAAAATAAATGAGTTAATATGGGGGGTTACACTTATTTCAGCGCACTGTATGAATAAAACTGCACGATTCATGATAATTACCTGAATATTTTACGATAAATATCGTCATTGTATATTCTTCCTGGTTTGTAGATTTTTCTACGACGAAAATTCATAAATGCTGCCATTTAACAAACATAACAAAAAACACCTAAGCCGAAGTTGTTTATCTACCAACTTCACCTAAACTGAAGCAAATTCTACTAAACTAGCAAATACTTCAAAAGCGTAGTACACCCTTCTATGTATCTGGTAAATAGTAGTAAATACTACGAAGGAAAGCAAAATGCTTTGTGTAGCAAGTACTACAAAAATGTAGAATTACTTGAAGCACTAGCAGATACTACGTTTTATGCATTCCACCCAATAGTGAACAAATGCAGTTTGGTTTTAGAATTCACTCTAGAGAAGCACTATTTGCTAGAAAGACCTATTGCAGAATTGCCGTATTTAGAGTGAAGATGCTTTTACGTACTTTGTCTATTTCGAAAAAGCATTTGACAAAAATATAGAAATTTATGACAAAAATGTTGGCACCAACAAAATGTGTACGGGACTCAAACTGCTAACGAAAAAATTGGAAATAATATAACCGACGAAATATTTATAATAAGTGTATTTAGACAGGATTGTTATATATTTCCAACAATATTCAATTTATACTCGGATGAGCCATTTAAAACGTCATTTAAAGGCCAACCAATTGGAAAAAAATTAATGGGAAATTACATAATCATCAGACAGTTTTGAAGGCCTTCAGATTAAGCTGAATTATATCCATAATATAAAGGCTCAAAAAAGAATCAAGATCCATGACAATAAAACCAACTTTTTGGTCTACATCAGTAACTGATATCTAAATGCACAATTGGAAATAAATGGTATCCAAGTACAAAGAGTTAACAAATTCACATATTTGGGAACTATCATAATGGACCAAATCTGACGTAGAAATAAATCACAGAATTGCAATGACTAAAAACACTAATCAAGTGAAATGTTTAACCAGTAGCCAGTACTGTTGCAAAAAGAAAAAGCTTAGACTCTAAGCACACATAACTACACCAAAGCAGACAGCACAAATACCCTTTAAATGTAGAAATATATATATATATATATATATATATATATATATATATATATATATATATATATTGGATTTGAAATTTTCACGGGAGCTATATGTGATTTTAGATGTTTTCCGGGTTTGACTTCGCGTTAAATAGTTTTGGTTTTTAAAAAAACCATTGTTTTGACAACGTTTCGGCAAGGTCACACTTGCCATTGTCAAGTCAGATTAGTTCTGCTTCGTCTTGATGTTTCAGAAGTTTTTGTACATAATATGTTCAAAACAGTACTGACAGTATTGGTTAAAAGCACCTAGGTCACTAGTCATTAAATATAAAAACAGAGCAAACAAAAACTACCAAGAAACAATTAAAACACAATAAAATTACACATTAAAAATATACAGGATGATTTAAAATATAATTGTAAACAGAAAAATTATTTGGACAAACTAAGAATATTACAGTACAGTTTGAGATTTGGGGCATTGAGGAAAGACAGATAAGAAATGCGTCAGCTGAATCTCAAGGAAAAACTAGAAGGTCCAAGAGGTCCTTTTCTAAGAAACATTTAAGATTTTACCGAAATACGAAAAAGCAAAACACTTTTGATATGGCACAATAAAATGAGAAGGTTAATTCCTGGTCTATATTAATTAAATATTACTTGGTATCATTTAAAATAGAACAGTTATGAAATTAAATTAAAGAGATAGAATTTTGTTAAAAGGAGTATTAAGATAAGTTCAGGTATGTAAAATCGACATTAGATGATTTCCTAAATTTCATTCACATGTTATCGACTCTTTAAGATTTTGATATTTTCGGAATGTGGTAGAATCTGTTATTAAAACTACTTACGATTTATTTACTTTTAGAACCAAGAAAATTTAAGAGGTACTGTAAATTACGTAGATACAGCTATAGTGTGTAGAGGTGATGAGATTTATGAAGAGGTACCCACAACGGAATTGGTACCGGGAGATTTAATTATTATACCACCAGAAGGATGTGAAATGCAATGTGATGCAGTATTATTATCTGGAACTTGTGTTGTCAACGAGAGTATGTTAACAGGTAATAATTATTTGTCAAGTAATATTCATAATTACATTGAAAGGAAATTGGCTTCAAATCTACGAGTTATATGTAAATAAATCCTCATCATTTATATATCGGATGTCTCCAATCTATAATAATCATATTACATTTTTCGTCTCTTTGTGCAATATTTTACAAGAAAAATTTTCAATTCAATTTTGCTTGTCCTCTGGGAGCATCTTTAACTTTTATGATGATTCCTATCCACATAATCTTTCTTCTATATCATAGTAGGAATTTGGAATGAGGAACAAATCCTATATGGAGTGCATATTCACATAAGCTGCTTGGCGAATATAAAATTGGTTTTAGGTCTGGTCAATCAACAACGGGCCAGATTTTGGTGCTGAGGCAGACACTGGAAGAAACCACCGAATTCATTATTGATATCTACCACCTCTTTATAGGGCGACACCATCTCACCCAAGTTATTTACTTTGGCATTAGAAAATGTTTTCAAACAACTAAATTGGGAAGAAAATGGATTAAAAATAGATGGAGTATATCTTAACCATTTGCGTTTTGCAGACGATATAGTACTAATAAGCACAGATATCCATGAACTAAAATCAATGCTACAAGATTTAAACCACAAATCGAATCAAATAGGATTAAAAATGAATCTCGACAAAACAAAGAACAAAGCAGAACAAAACAGATCAAAGCAACAGCCTAGAAAACATCACAATAGATAACATCAATATAGAAAAGGTAGAACAATATATATATATATATATATATATATATATATATATATATATATATATATATATATATATATATAGAGAGAGAGAGAGAGAGAGTGTGTGTATAACGACGCTAAGAATATATATATATATATATATATATATATATATATATATATATATATATATCTAGTAATTAAAGACGAAAAGGAATTCAAAATTCAAACCCTTGAAATTAAAAGAAGGACACAGTTATCATGGGCTGCTTTTGGTAAGTTGAGCTTCATTTTAAAAGACAGAAAAATCCCAATTCACTTAAAACGAAAAACCTATGACACTTGTATACTACCAGTTGCAACTTATGGATTGGAAACTATGGCAATAACAAGAAAAATGGCAGAACAATTAAGAGTAACTCAACTAACCATGGAGAGGGCCATGTTAAATATAAGCCTCAGAGACAAAATTTCTAACACCGAAATACGTCGAAGAACTAAAGTAACCGACATCATGGGAAAATAGCGACATTGAGATGGCAATGGGTAGCACATGTAGCAAGACAAGACACCAACAGATGGTCTCATAAAGTGACATTCTTCGAGAAACAAAAAGAAGCGTGGAAAGACCTAAAAAGAGATGGATAGACGGTATAACTGCTGTAGCTGGAAAGCAGTGGATGAGAATTGCAAAAGATAGGGAAGCGTGGAAGCAATTGGAGGAGGCCTATGTCCAACATTGGATAAATGAAGGCTGAAGAAGAAGAAGAAGAAGAAGAAGAAGAAGAAGAAGAAGACCTCTTAAAATCAGCCTATGATAGTGTACTACGAATTAAATTGTAAATTGTATTAGTTTATCGGCAATTCTACACTCCCGATAAACTAGTAAGAGTGGTAAGGGTTACAGTGCACAGATATTTTTATTTATTTATATTTTTATTTATTTCCTACCTTTCTTTTTTTTAAGCCCTTTACATATGGTATTGTTACCATCTTCAAATCCCTTTCTGTGAGCATTTCTGGGTTGCTCTTGTTGTTGTGTTGTTTCGTTTCTTCAATCTTTTTAAATTCCTTGTTTATGAATGACAATTGGTAGTTATTTCCTGTTAAAATCTTCGTTAGCAGGTTTTTTTCTTCCTGAAATACATTTTCGTTGTAACAGGTTTTTGGGCTCTATCACTAATCATATGCTAATTTCCTTTTTGATTATGTATGTTTCGGATCTCTTTCTGTTCTATAAAAATACATTATAAACCTTAAATATATAAACTTAATTTCCTGTATTTAGTTAATAAAATAAAGTTAATTTACAATTAGAAAATACATATTTATTTTTTCCGAAAACTTTAGGAACATGCGTTACATATAAGAGCCGAGAATTTCAAGTAAAAGGGCTTGTGTTTATTATGGTTGTACTATTAGCCGAAATTAATCCAGATAGTTGAATAAATAATATAATTTTATTTTTAGGGGAATCTGTGCCTATAACTAAAACTCCTTTACCGGAAGATAATTTGCGTTTTCAGTTAAATGAAAATGTAAATCATACTCTCTTTTGTGGAACAAAGATCATTCAGACTAAGAGTAAAGGTAGGGATTATTATTTTGATTACGTGTGTAATAATTATTATTTATATTTTCGGCTTTGGGATATCCGAGTTAGACAAAGCGAAAAGCTCGGGATAGTTCGAATAAATATTTCCATGAAATATTTTTGAGATGCTCTGTATAAAGTCTTTAATTTGAAAGAAAATAAAAAGTAATAAACTAAAAGAATATCGGTCAATAAAAGATCGATAAAAATACTATATAGAAATACTAGAATTCCATTCGTAAAGTTTCTCGAACGGTCAAAATTTTAAAGATATTATAAACGTCATCTAATTTATAACAATTGGATGACTTCTGTGGTCACGCCGAATCTAGCACTCTTTCTCTCTGCGTAATTTGGCATAGATTCATTAAAGCTTGGTCGCCGGTCATATTTGATCTCATTTTGAAGGTTTCGTTCTTCTTTTGTTTCATTTGATCCAGCATAAGCTGCAAGACGATTTATGTGAACTACTTTTGGTTTTCCTTTCGGCAACTTCTTAATTCGGTATATTACGTCATTTATTCTCTTTTTAATTTCATACGGACCTTCCTATTGTCTTTGTAATTTAGGAGACAAGCCTCGATGACGTTGTGGATTATAAAGCCAAACAAGGTGACCTACTTCATAGCTTTTATTCTTACATCCTGAATTTATTATTGAGCTTTCATTCTATCACTGGCTAACTGGATGTGTTGTCAGGCAAGTTCATGAATCTTGTTCATTTATAACTTCAAGGGGTCGACATAACCTTCACTTGCAACATGTTCTTCGGAAAGTTTGCCTCCAAATTCTATGTCGCAGGGCAAACGAACTTCACGACCTAACATTAGGCCGGTTGGAGTCTGAACAGTAGTTTCATTTACGGCCGAGCCGTAGGCCATTAGGAATAAATGAATGTGCTGGTCCCAATCTCTTTGATGTTCTGATACAACTTTGGACAGGTGTTTACCCATCGTTCGGTTCATCCTCTCGACCATTCCATCTGATTGAGGATGCAGTGGTGTCGTTCTGGTCTTATTGACAGCAATCAATTTACAAACGTTTTGGAAAAGGGTTGACTCGAAGTTTCGCCCTTAGTCAAAGTGGATCTCCAAGGGAACACCAAATCGGCTAAAGAATTCTCTAACAAGTACCTCTGCAATGGTAGCAGCTTCTTGATTTGGTATCGCAGAGGCCTCAGTCCATTTCGTAAAATAATCCATGGCTACCACGATATATTTATTTCCATCATTCGTCTCTGGAAGTGGACCTGCAGTGTCAATTGCTACTCTTTCCATAGGACCAACATTGTACTGTTTCATGGGTGCCCTCTTTTTACCAACTGCACCATTACTGGTTATACACAGTTCACTTTTCCAGCACCATCTTCTTACATCATCTTTACAGTTCACCCAACAGAACCGTTCTCGAACCTTTTGCAGAGTCTTCGTAATACCAAAGTGTCCACCTGATGCATCGTCATCCAACTGACGCAATACTTCTGACACGTTTCTTTTAGGTACAATCAACTGAAGCTTAGATTCTGTACCATCATCGTTCTCAAAGGTTGTATACAGAAGATCATCTTTTAGCACTAGGCAATTCCATTGGCTCCAGTAACACTTGACTTCGGGACTACATGCACTAATGTCTTGTCAAGAAGGTCTTTCACTTCGACGCATCCAATCCAATACTCTTTTTATACATGGATCATCTGCTTGAGCGTCTTGTAGCTGCTGAGGCTGCCATTGATCATTAATCACGGGGGTTCGTCTCACGGGGCAAAGTCGTTGTATTATTTTCTTGCAATTTGCGGCGAATGTGACCTATGTTGTTACCATTTCAATATCTGGGTTCACGTCTCTTCGGCATCATGTTACGAACCACTTTCTGTACGATTTCCTTCAGACGTTTATCGTTTTGTACTTCGCTCTCTGCAAAGGTTCGTACTCGGTAGCTTCGTGAAGCTCGACTAGCTGTCTCGTGTTCCAAGGCAATGGCAAGCGCTTCATCTAAAACTTTCGGTCTTGCTAGTGGTAAAGCTTTCTGTAGTTCACTGTCTCTCAACCCATTGATGAAAGTATCTACAGCAATTTCTTCTAATATGTTGTCTAGTGCCTCTGGATAAGCCAACAGCGCTATACGAGCAACATCTGTTTTAAATTCTTGCAAACTCTCACTTGCTCGTTGGAAATTACTTCTTATTTGTATTTTGTAGACTTGTTGTAGATGGGCATCTCCGTAACGTTTGTCTAGTCGAGTGAACAAGGTCTGGTAACATTTTTCTTGACCCTTAGGAATCAATTTTAGGATATCCGCAGCATCACCTCGTAAAGGTGCAGTCAAGGAAACAGCTTTTTCTTGATCTGTCCAATGATTGGCTGTCGCAATAGCGTCAAATTGTCTAAGGTATATTGACCAAGAGGACTTTCCATTAAATATTGGCAATTTGAATCTCATATGATGTGCCATTTCGTCTCTAGATGATTCTTCTTTCACTACCGGATCTAAAATTACTGTATTAATTGCTGGTAGCACTTTCGTGTTAGTTATCATGGTCTCTAATTGTTTGATCTTCTGTTCTACGTTGTTTACATTTTTCTGTATCTGATTGAATGTTTTAGAGACTTCTTCAAATTTCTCATTGTTTTGAGTACATACTTTGTCGAATCTTCTAGAAACCTTTTCGAGTTTCTCGTCGTTTTGTCTAGCTACTTCTTTAATAATTTGAGAAGTTTCTTCAATCATTTGAGACGTTTCACCGAATCTTTTGGAAACGTTCTCGACTTTATTAACATTTTTTTTGAAGATTCTTCAATCTTTTGTGACACATTTTTTATTTTTGTTAAAACTGCTTCTTCTGCTGACTGGAACTGGAATGTCGTCTCCATTCTTGTTGAGAACAGTCTTCAGTCGTTCTTGGAGTATCTTCTTGGACCCGCTGCAGTCTTCATCGCGTTCTTCTAGTTGCTCCCTCAACTGTTTCACTGAAAGTTCTACTAGCAGCATCTTTGGTCAGGCACATACGTACTTTTTTTAAATGTTCTTTCGTACTGAAACCTCACACCGGACACCAACTGTAGCGAGATTAAATAAAACGAGCGGTTTATAAATTTACAGTTCGGTCATACCTTATCCACTAACTCAACTCATAACATCGTTATATCATATATTATATATGTATATATATATATATATATATATATATATACATATATACATATATCAAAAGTATTGTTCTAGAATCATCTGGTGTAGTCACACCTCTAATTCGTTGTTTAACGGGTCGATACTCTCATGCGCTCGAGACATCTGTGGAAAGTTCTGGATGCCCTTTCGAGATGCAACCGTTACATGGGCCACGTCGAACGCATGTTCGTAACACAATATTGAATTTTAAATTTTTATGACACTCATTTTAAAATAATTTCATATAAATACATTGTCAAATTTTTACAATCATCAGTTCGACTATTATATTAAAATACGACAAAAAAGTTATTAGTAAAACAATTTAAGTTAAATTTTTATATTTATACGAAAGGAAAAAAGAATTTTAAGAGATTTCTAAATTAACATGGCTTCTTACGAAATAGCAGTCACAGTTTACAAAAGTAAGTATGTAAAAATATGTAATAGTACCTAATATTTTTCCAGCGATCCCGAGCTTCTCCTTGTCTAAATGCCTTTTAGTTCAAAGCTATAACGTGTTTCATATTTTTTCTAATTTTCTTTTGAAATCGTTCAACTGCATATTACTCAAAATTTTAATTTGCGGCTTGAAAATTCGTTTTTTACGTGTAAAATATTTAAAACATAATGTAAATCATTTTTTATACATATATTAGAATAAATCATAAAAAAAGTAAGCAAAAATTTTAAATTTTGTTTTAAATATTTAAAAATTATTTAAAAATATGCTAGAAAATAATAAAATAAGTTAGAAACGATTTAGTTTTTGAAAGTTTATAGGGGAGATTAAAAATCATAATAAAATACTAAATAGAAATGAATAATTTCACTTCTCTTCATTATCTTGAATCTCAATTAATATTCACAATTAAAGATTTCACTGAAATCATTTCAAATTTTGAAAGTCTTCTATGATAGCCGGGAATATTTCGACGAGCTCCACGGTAGGAAAATGCCAGTTTGGTGAATATTGTAACAATTTTGCCGGTGATAAAACACGACTAACACAATCAGAGAGGTTTTGATTAGAAGGCATATATTGCCAAGAAGAGTCTGGTATCAGTTCTTGTATGTGTTTAACACGATTGACAATTTGTGGGTAGAAAAATTAGCTCAAGTGAGCGCAATCGTCGACTCGGATTAAATGTCGGAAGATCGGATGGAGAACCCTTTGACAAAGGTGACTAGATCAGCCAGCAATATGGCTGCTAAGAGCTCCAATCTTGTCCAGTCAGAGCGAGCATGAAAATGACTAGATCAGTCAGCAGTATAGCTGCCAAGAGCTCCGATCTTGCCATTGATGTTCTTATATAGAAATAACGCAAGAAATGTAACAAATACAAGTACAGAGGTCAGATATATCTTTTCAGATGTTTCATCATCCCAGGATACATTGAACTACCACAACGGTTGTAGAAGACGTTTGACTAGCAAAAAGACATGGAAAAAGAATAAAAACAAGAGAATAGCATCAAAAATACGACTGATTTACGAACGAATAGCCCGCTTTGTACCAGGTTTGTCAAAGGGACGAGAAGAATAAGAAAAAAAGTCAGTCGTAGGATTCCATTTTAGCGCCAGTACCGTAAAAATGGAGGGTTCCTCTTTGTCAGCGAACATGTCAAAATGTCTGAGTCAAAGCCTTAAAAATAATGAAGATGGTTGCTGACGTTGTTGATTTGTCTATCGATTTATCTAGCGAAAAACTATCGAGCTTTAAAAAGCTAAGCGAGTGCTCACTGCAGAAGGTGAGTAGATAAAAGAGAATCACTTGTAGCGTGATTCTGAGGGAAGGCCGTCAAGATAATTGTTGGCCCATTGCCTA